TATTTTGTATTTTATTTAGAGCAGGGTCTCACTGAGTTGCTTAGGGCCTCACCATTGCTGAGGCTGACTTTGAACTTGCAATTCTCCTGCCTCAGTCTCCTTAGCTGCTGGGATTACAGGTGTGCACCACCATGCCCAGCGAGAAGTGAGATTTTTAAGAGGTGATTAGCCCAGGAGGGCTCTGAATGGATTAATGAGTCTGGGGAATGAGTTTGTTATAAAAGTGAAGGTCACATAGCAAGTTGGCTGTATGGTGTTAGGAAAGGCCAAGACTTAACAACTAGTGTAACAGGGCTACCTTACTTTGTTTACCTTTTAGATTCACCCCTTTGAGCTACATGTACACAGACTACACTTAGGATACTAGCAAACCAAGGAGAAAACTTTCCATTTTAAGTGATACCATTATTATTTCATGTTAAAATTAACAATGATAAATAAATATATTCAAATTACTTTATCCTCCATAATATGTACACTTCATAAATACAGGCCTAAGAGAAGTCTCCAAAACAAAACCCAGAAGGGAATCTTGCAAATCCTTGTGCTGATAACCCTCCAGCCAGGCTCCTATTGATACAGGGCATTGCCACAGGTTCTCAGGGGTAAAGGACTACTCAGGTAAAGAACTACTCAGGAGTCGGGAGGGGATTGAATCCAAGGATACTTTACCACTGAGCTGCATCCCTATTCCTATTTATTTTTTTAGACAGGGTCTTACTAAGTTGCTGAGGATGGCCTTGAACTTGCCATCCTCCTACACAGCCAGCTGAGTTAGTGGGATTACAGGCGTGCATCACCATGCCTGATACTTACTCAGCAGCTTCGGAACACACTGGGTGTGTTGTCAGAGCCCTTCCTTTGAAAAGTGATCTCTTAGGAACTACCTACAGAAGACTGCCTCTTTACCTTTCCATCTCTGATGCAACAGGGGAATGAATAGGCAACTTGGAGAATACATCTCCTCTAAGCTTTTCTTTTATTAACATTTAAGCAGAGTGTTTTAATGACTCTAGCCCTGCTAGGAGTAATTAGCTTCATTTATGTTTTAAGATGTTCTCTTGTTTGGTTGTTTTTGTTTTTGTAATGGGGATTGAACCCAGGGTGCTTTACCATTTAGCTTCATCCCCTATTCTTTTAATTTTTTTTTTTTTATTTCAAGACAATATCTCACAAAGTCACAGAAGCTGGCCTTGAACTTGTGATCCTCTGCCTCAGAGTTCCTCGGATTAAAGGTGTGCACCACTGTGCTCAGTCATTCTTCAAGGTATTTCCTCTTCTTGCCATTGATTTCTGACTAGGAACAAACTTCTCTGCAGCATTTGACATCAGCATCAACAGTTATTTTCTGGCCAGGCTTGGTGGTGCATGCCTGTAATCCCAGTGGCTCGGGAGACTGAGGCAGGAGGATCACAAGTTCAAAGCCAGCCTCAGCAACTTATCGAGGTTCTAAGCAACTGAGACCCTGTCTCTAAATAAAATATAAAAAGGGCTGGGGATGTGGCTCAGTGGTTAAGTAACCCTGGGTTCAATCTCTGGTGCAAAAAAGAAAAAAAGGTCATTTTCGGCAGGATGATGGATGGCAGTGCCTAAGAACCAGCAGCTAGAACTTGGGACATGACTTCATCTAGGAAACTCAGATGACCACTGACATTGGGTATCTGGGTATTAACTTGTTCTTGGCAGTCTGGGCATCTGCATTGGAAAGGTTAGGTAATTGTTTTTACTTGGTTATAGGCAGCTTGTTAACAACTCCAGAGCTGCAGCCTGAGAATTAGTATAAATCCCAGAGTTCAGAATCTGAGTTACTGGTATTAAAAGAAGAAACATTAACTAGCTGATTTCCTTTGGCAATAGCCTGGAACAGAAGGCTGGTGGCATTGCTGTGCCTCTTGATATGCGGTCCGGCATTTACTTCAGCGCTTCATGTGGCAATACTTTATGCTACAACAGCAGTAGGAAAAATTCTGTCTCCATTCTGTTTTTGAATTTCACCTCCATAGTATTTGGACTTCATATCAGATACACTTTTACAGTTTAGATGTGAGATGTCCCCAAAAAACTCATGTGTGAGACAATGTAAGAGCGTTTAGAGGTAAAATAATCGGGTTATGAGAGCCTTAATCTGATCAGTGCATTAAGCTGCTAATAAGGATTAACTGGGTGGAAGCCATAGGCAGGTAGGGTGTGACTGGAGGAGATGGGTCACTGGGGCTGTGTCTTTGGGGTGTATATTTTGTTCATGGTGAGGGGAGTCTGCTTACTGGTGCCACGTCCTCAGTTCCTTTTCTCTGCCACATACTTCTACCATGATGTTCTGCCTCATCTCAGGCTCCAAGGGAATGGAGTTGGCCATCTATAGACTAACAGCTCTGAAATCATGAGCCCCTAAATAAACTTTTCCTCTTCTATTGCTCATGTTAGGTCTTTTTGGTCATGGCAGAAAAAATATATATCTGTATCTATATCTCATGGGGTGGCCAGCACCTCTCCAGGGAATTCTTGCCTGCTCAGAGGTATAAGCCTCCTAAGAAATTAAAGTCTAGAATAATTAGTGAAGAACAAAAGACAAAGAGTCAGAAAAGATAGTTTTAAAGATGGAGTCCTGATAGGTCCAGTCCAAATAGGAGCTGGAGCTACACAATTAGAAAATGGCTCCCTGTGGTTTATTTAAGGGGGTACATCAAAGGCAGGGATAAGGTTTCAGGGGTGGAGTTTTGCTTCCTGATGTCTTGCAGTCAGCAGGTTGATTGGCATCTTGGCTGGTTACACCCATCTCAGAGAGGCTGTGTGGCTACAGCAGGTCACCCCATCTCTGGCGCTATGTGGGACCAGGCGGAGCAGAATAAAAATTTACATGTTTGTGCAATCTTACCCTGTGGGACTGCCAGGGGAAGTTCCCAAACACCTATTCATTAGGCTGTGATGCATGATATAGTCCACACACAGCCCGCTGATGGCTCTCAATTAAAAAAAAAAGAAAGAAAAAGAAAAAATAAAACTGACTAAAACATCCACCAGGCCCACTCCTCATATTGAGAAACTGTTCAGCAACTTGCTTTAGAACAGGATAACTGGCACCAAATCCAGTTAAAGCCATTCTTACTCTTGTAAAATGATTCTGAACATAGTAATGTAACTCATCTGATGTCACTTTCCCCATCTTATTGTCAGGACAATATAAGAAATTGACCAAGACATTCTTGTAAACAGCAGCATGCAAACTTTCAATGACATGAAGTTGTGGATTCTGAAAAGCCACAGCTTTGTCAATCCTTAGTGGAGACTGAAGGTCAGCTACTTCTAAAGGAAGAAATGCTGGTGCTGTCGTGATAGGGAATAGATACTCCATTAGAATATGGATGTTATCCCTTAGGCGTTCCACAGTATATGCCCTATCATCCCCTGTTATAATCCTACTTTACCACCAACTGCTTCAATTCCATAGGTGATCTTAAAAGATGAATCTTTTTTAGTAGTCAAGCTGGATGCAAGAGGCAGTAAATGAAAGGTCCTTAAATTGTTGAGTCCTCATATCTATTGCCTGCTTTAATGAACAAATCAGGATGTTTGATGCATGAGCATAGTTTCAGAGATGCAATCACCAAACCATTTGGTAATTTGGTAAACTCAAGGTCCTAAAGATATGGAGAAACTCTTGTAGGGACAGCAATTAGGAAATGGCTCCCGGTGGTTTATTTAAGGGGGTACATCAAAGGCAGGGATAAGGTTTCAGGGGTGGAGTTTTTAACTTTAGGAGTAAATTTGAGGGAATAAAGTCTTTTTTTTTTAAAGAGAGAGAGAGAGAGAATTTTTTTAATATTTATTTTTTAGTTTTCGGCGGACACAACATCTTTGTTGGTATGTGGTGCTGAGGATCGAACCCGGGCTGCACGCATGCCAGGCGAGCGCGCTACCACTTGAGCCACATCCCCAGCCCTAGGGAATAAAGTCTTGACAAGGACCTGGCTCTGGTTAATAGCTTCATGGCTCAAGAATGCTCTGATCGTGTCACAGCCAGCTTAATGGAAATGAAGATGGCGGCAGAACTCCTCCAATTTCTTAGGTATTTCTTTTTCAAAGGGAAATACTCTAAGTAAAATATTTTCCTGTTCCAACAATTTTGTGTCTACGTATGTTTGCTTGACCCAATTCCACTTGATAAATTCATTTTGGGATGTTTGGAAGTGCCATACAAATCCTATCACTGAGGAGAGCAACAAATATCCTGAGGATGGCACACCAGAAAGATAAAAATAGCTGGACAAGCAGCTTATGGAATCTGAAATACTGTGAGCTGCTATATTCACCAATTTTGGACACAGCCAACCTGAAGACTTCTATAAGAAATCCCTTTGTTATTAACAAAAAATAATTGTTACCCCGGAAAGACCACTTTTACTATTAAGTAAATGCTTCTTTACCTCAAAGTCATTGATTTGCTGTTGGGTTCTAGAATCACCAAGCTCCATGATTCAGGGTCAGGAAAGACAGATGGAAGAATGCTGTGTAGAGGAGCTCAGTGTCTTTGCTAGGTAGGGTCCGATCCCTGCAAGAGCTTCCTTTCCCTCTTTTCCCATCTCCATGCTGTCCTTAATTATTAATCATGCCTTGCACACCAACTCTCTCTCCTGGTGATCTACCTGCTTTACAAGCCATATGCCAAATAAAAATAGTTTTCTATTCCATCTAGAAAAGCCTGGGCTGAATTAGCAGAGGATGTCACAGAAAGTTTCTTATATTTCTTTAGCTTGAGCCACCTACTCAAAGCTCAGGAGAGAACTAGGAAAGAGTTATCTGGGACAAAGATCATTACATTTAGTTGCTAGAATGTCTAGATGCTAGTAGGTGGACCCAGACCAATGGCTGACCAGCTGTTTGCCTCTGAGGCTATGAGGAAAATGAGAAAGAAAGGTAATTAAACAAAGCAAAGTACAATGGAAATAGAAGAGAGAAAATAAGTGTATCAGCTTAACAGTGATTTTTCTCACTTTCAATACTCCTTTTTAGAATATTCAAATTTATTAATTAGTTTTAAAAAATTGACACATAAATTTGTATGTATTCATCATGTACAATATGTTTGGAGGCATGTATATTGTGGAATGGTTAAAACTAGCTAATTAAAATATGTATTACCTCAAAAAATTATCAAAGCTTTTGCATTTTAAAAGAATACTGTACTGGAATGGGTTAAGGTCATCACTTTTAGCAACCTGGTAGCATTATTCAGTAGTTAATCAACAGAACATTAAACCTCTGCCCAGATGGCTTTAGAAAGGGAACCTGGACAACCCCAAACTTAGGCACTCTTGTAGCTTCCATCTCCAGTTCTTTTAATCCTGGCCAAGACAGCGGCCTTGGATACTTTCTTCCGGTCATAAGCCAGGCCGAGGACAGCCATGCAGTCGATGAAGAACGTGGTAAAGTTGATGTGCCAGCGGTACTCACTGGCAGAGTAGTCATAGGGGAAGGAGTGGTGGTAGTTGTGGAAACCCTCACCTGGAACAAACCAAGGAGAGAAGTTAGGAAGCTCAGTAAATTGCTGTGTTCCTCATCTTTGCAACCTCTTACCCAGCAGGGCACCACAAACCTCTGAGAAAGCTGCTGTTGTTGAGTGAATAGATGAACCCTGTGTCTTCTACTTAAGGCAAATAGATGCCCTCAGAGGCATCTAAATAATGAATCAAGAAGCCCTGGTCACCCATGGCTGCCTGGGACCCTTTGTGAGAGAAAGTTTTTCTTGGGGGTAAGAGGATGAGACAGAACCTGGTTCTGTTGAGAAATGATCTTAAATTGTAAAATGCCAGAGCTTCAGTAAATACTGGCCTGAGACCACATAGGCTTTGGCCTTTGTGCACGTGTTGGGGGAGGGTCCAAAGGAAGAACTGTGGCTGTGCTTCTTACAAAGGTGAGTATATATAGTTAAGTGCTGTGGTATTTGCCTGTAATCTCAGCAATTTGGGAGGCTGAGGCAGGAGGATCATAGGTTCAAGACCAACCTCAACAATGTATTGAGACCCTATCTCAATAAAAAATCAAAAGGGGTGGGGATGTAGCTCAGTAGTAGAGTACCTTTGGGTTCAATTCCCAGTATAAAAAAATAAAGAAAAGAAAATGAAAAAAAGTTGAGTAAGCAACACACTTTTCTCCACCATACCTGTGCTCCCCATTAAAGTGGGAGGTTGTGATAAAATGGCCGGCAGCAGCTGAAAGTCAGAAGAAAGGAAGCTCAGCCAGGGGCCAGAGCTCCCCTAGCCTTGGCTAGTACACAATGGACTGATCTGGCTTCTAATTCTCTGAGTTTTGATCCTGAAGCAGGGGAGGTACTGATGAAATAGAAGTACTCTGAAAACACTTGAGAGATTCCCCCTAACCTCTGAGATTCTGAAAACTCTTGGGATAAGCATTATTTCACTGTGCTGGAATAGAAAATAGAAAAAAAGAAATTTGGGATCCAGAACATTTCTGTAATTGATAAAATGTTTGGCAATTCTTGGCATGATTCTTCTTTCTCAACAGCTTTCAACACTAGCAACACTGGCCCTTATCGTGCCTAGGTAAAGAACAGCCATGATAAGAGAGGTTATTGTACATTTTGTAGATAAAAACATCCCAAGATAGAACAGCAATGATAAGAATAGCAAGCAATCATAGGAGGTTCTGCCAAGCAAATGACTCCAACCTGGGCATCTCAAGGTATCTATCCCTGTGTATACCAGACTGTCCACAGTGTGCACTGGTAGGTGGAGGGATAACACTAAGGCTAAGGGTGACCCAGGATTGCCACTTCCACCTGTGGCTTCACAGCAAGGCTCTGAGTGAGCACTCACCATGCCTGTAGGTATCAGATTTAAAATGAATCACACACACACACAGACAAGGAATGGAAAAAGGGGAGAGTCAATGGGAGCAACTGGGGCAAAGAGACAGCTGAAGAAAAGTTCTAAAGGATAAGCATGTGACTGTTGAGATAAGTCAAGACCAACAAGATGAGAATGGCAGGAAAGAGTGGAGGAGAGCAAAGGGCAAGGGGACAGGGACAAAAGAGCAGGTTTGTAGAAGCAAATGACAAATGGGAGAAAGTAAGATATTGGCAACTAGTTTGAACTGAGGGTCACAAAGAGCCTAGAGATGTGGAAGCTCACTGGAGTTCCATTTACAACACAGGACACATGTCAGTCTAGACTATTCCATTTCTATGAAAATCTCAGATTTGGACAGCATGTTGGTGATTTATTTCATTGTATATATTCTTACTTTGAAGAATCAAAGGAGTCAGGAGATGTATGGGAGTAAAAAAGAGATACGGTGGGGGGAGAACCCTTACAATGAAGACAGTAAATATGACCTGCATTGAGAATATAGAGGAAGATATTGATGAGAAAAAACAGTGTTATACAGTCATGAGCATAGACTTGTGAGTGGGAGGGCTGCCAAGGTGCTACTGGATGAAGAACAGCTTTGATCCTGGTGAGAAGCAGCCAAGGAAAAATAACCTGAGCCTCAGTCAAAGACTACGTTCACTTAGAAAGGGCAGTAAACAGTGAAGATACATGGTAGAACTCTTTTTTTCCTACCTGGCAACTGGGAATGGAACTATAGAGACAAATAAACTCAAGAATATTCAATATCAGGTCATGAAGCAGGAACTTCTTATGAAACTATCTGCCTAGAAAAGGAAAACTCAGAGTGGCTCAATACAGGTAGCATTTAGAGATTATTTTTCAACTTAAAAATCAAAAAGTTATTATTTTTCACCTTTCCCATTTACACAAGTGTTGTTTCCTGAGAGTTAGGAGAAGGTTTAGAGCCTGACCATAATAGGAAAGATCAGACAGTAGATGAGGGCAGCATAGGTTCATCTAACAAGAAAACTCTAGAAGGATGCTGAGCAGCTCAGAAAAGCTGCCTCCAATTCATTGCAGCACAAGTGTCTAGGGCCTCACGGATCCTGTGGGCGGCTGTACTTGAGAACTGATGGGCTCTGGACTAAGGAAGCCCCAGGGCTGGGGCGGGGTGAGACATAACTGGATGGGCTTCTGAAGTTTCTGTCTTTGTTACCCTGGCTCTCATAAAAGTTGCCCAATACATTGCCCCTTAGTTTTATAGTGTAAGAACCGAGCTATAGTGATCATAAAAACACCTCATTTGGGTTGCTCCACCTCCTAGCCAAATATCTTAATCAGCAGACCACTACATATCTTGTGACTTACCCCCAGCTCCCAGAGAAACAAGTATATTCTCCCGAGAATCAATGTTCTTGTCATAAGGGCGGTATCCATAGAGGTGGGCAGCACTGTTCACCAGCCAGGTGACGTTGAGTACTATAGCATATCGCAGGAAAGTGGCCACACACAAGCTGTGTAGAAAAGTTTCACCCCAACAGAACCAGGGCACCAGTGTGGGCAGGATGAAGCACATCAACAGGACAGCGGGCTTGTAGTACCTACATTGAAAGATCCCACAGTGAGTCTGCAGAAAGAGAACTCTCACACCTACCTGGACTGTCCACTCTCGCTGGACTGAGCTACGTCCTTTCTCCCATACTATAGGCATAGGGTGACAGAAACCAGCACAAGTGAATAGGGTGGAAAAAGGTTTTGAGCACATAGTAGGAGTTCTACTGCCTAGGGTGTTGTCCATCTGCCTTAGGGCTCGCCTCTTGTCTTTCTGGCTCAATGGTTACTTTCACCTGTCTTGGGAGCGCCTTTTGAAACACACCCTTGCTGTGCCACATTGGTGCAGATGATTAGAGGTTCTCTGTTGCCACCAAATAAAATCCTAAGTCTACATCTGTGTCCATGACTATCCTATACTGTAAACATTTCTTGCATTTATTGATATCATTAACATAGCTCAGTGAGGGTCTGAAGGTGTAACTCAGCAATAGAGTGCTTACTTAGTCCATGAAACACATTAAGTCCCAAATATTCACATTAAGTATTCACATTAAGTGAATATTTCAATGAAATTGACCTATTAAAATAGATTGGAAATCATAGTCTATAACTTTTACATATGTGTACATATATCATTCTATTAATAAATATTAATTAATATAATCTTTTAAAAATATTTTAGTTGTTGATGGACTTTTATTTTATTCATTTATTTATATGCTGCGCTGAGAATTGAACCCAGTGCCTCACATCGTGAGGTAAGCACTCTACCACTGAGCCACAACTCCAGCCCCTAATTAATTTAATCTTATTCTTATAAAATCACATTGTATATTGTATGATAATATTATATAACATATTTAAGTTTTTATATGTGTTCCACATCTGGGGTGGTGGAACAAAATGGGCTAAGGCCCTGAGTTCTATTCTCAGGATGCAGTCCCCTCCCTGCAAATGATCAGAAAGTAACAGCAATAAACTATGGCTATGGGCTTGTAGAATGTTAAATATGAGGACTTAAATGATTTTGAATTTACAGACCCAACAATCCTCTTGTCTTATAAGTGAAAACTGGGGGCCCCAAACATAAATGCCCGGGGCCACATCCCCAGGCCCATCCTCCCTTCACTCACCTCCTCTGGAACATCACCAGCTTCTCAGCTTTTAGGTCAGACAGGTCCAGTGTCCCCCCCTTCTCTTTCACAGCTGGGTGTTTGCGCACAAGCAGCCAACCCACGTGAGAGAAGAAGAAGCCCCGGCGGGAGTTATGAGGGTCGGCATGTGTTTCTGAGAATTTGTGGTGGGTACGGTGGTCTCGGGCCCACTCATAAACATCATTCTGGAGGGACAGAGAAGAGGAACACAGGCCTGAGGAGAGATGCCCTCCTGGGAGAAGTCCAATGCCCAGATGTCTCCAAGGACCCACGGCTCTTAGCCCAAGCATATAGTCCCTAGGAGTCTGGCCCAATGATCCTAGGTTGTTGGTATGTGGATAAAGCTATGGGGAACTCTATCCTGATGCCTTCACAAGTGACAGGTCATGACAGTGACCAAGGCCACATTCAAAAGACCTCTGGTACTATCTGGGACTCTTTCCATCCCTTCAAAAATGTGCCTACATGTCTCTTCCTCCCTTTGCCCCATATGGACAACATCGAGAGCATCAAACTATGGGGTACTAGGGCAAAGATGGTTATGCAATTGTGGTAAGCACCTCACATGTTGCCAAAGAGAGGGGACTAATATATTTTTGTTTTCCTCTTGATACAAGTTAAACCTCACACAAGGCATCCTGTGCCCATTGCTATAATGTCACAGCTAGGAGAGTCCCCTTCCTCAATTCCCTTCATTCTTTTATAAACGTGTGCCTCAATCATTCTCAGTAGTTAACCTAGCCAAATAGCAACCCCAGATCAGATCACAATGTTGGTCAATCCAACCACAGTAACTCAAGTTTCCTCATCTATAAAGGGGACAGAATAACAGGTTCTACCTTGTGATGCCTGTAAGAACTCAAGGAGTTAATCTATGTCAAATGCATAGCACAGTGCACACAGCAATGCTATAGAAGTGTTTGTTCTTATTACCTGAAACAACAGAGTTCCTAAGTCTCTTAGCCATCAATCTCAAAGGAATTGTAGTAGGGTTCAAAGATAATCTCCTTAAAGCATGAGTTTATTATCCACCGTCTGCCCAAGAAACCAGGCTCAGTGCATGCCCCTTTATGATGAAGGACTACAACACCCACAATGCATGAGGACACAGGAACCTTGATAATAATCCTATACCTTCAGAGCCTTTGCTGTTTAACCCCTATTTTCCTTCCTAATGACTCCGAGTATTCCATGTCAGATGCAGCCAAGCACGGAGCCTATACTTGAGATGACCAAAAGAGACAAGAAAGGGCAATGACTATCCTGCTGGGGATCTGCTCTCGGCACTGAGCCCCTCCATGACACCCTGGATCATTGATAGGGTGGTGACAAAAGAGCTGAGCAGCATCGGCTTCTCACCTGGAACGCCATGGTGTCGGCAAAGATCAGGAAGAGCCGCAAAGGCAGTCGCGCTTTGTAAGTTCGGTGGCTCCACAGGCGATGAGCTCCTGCAGTGATGCCCAGGACACTGATTAAATAGTACACATAGGCTGCCAGGACAAGACGATAGGGAAGTCACCAACAGGAAAGTTCCATGGGAAAGCATATCAAAGTAACTCTCTTATGCCACAAGTCATGTGTTCTTTAGGCTTTGAGTATCAGCTTCAGCTGAACCACAGGGCTGCCTTGTCACCTTTAGCTCCTGAAAAGTGACCATCACCTCCCTGTCTCTCTGCCTAGGAGAGTGGAGAGGACTCCCAGGGACTAAGGAGGCAGGATGGCAAGAGAGGAATAAAACTCTCATGACTATGCCACTATCATTGTCCGTATGAGCGTTTGACCTTCAGCTGACCTTCTCTAAGGTGTTCAGTGCCTCAAAATATTCCCATAGAGCTTAGGAACCATGAGCAAGTGATTTTCAAAATGAGCAGCCAGAGCATATCTGGGCGTTGATCAATTGGAGCTCTATGGTGTAGGGAACATTCAGGGCATGCATCACTATGGCTATTTAACAATCAGTGCAAAAGTATTTCAATATTGTATCAGGCAGAGTGGCCTGATAGGAAAGTCAGCCCTGCACAGTCATATTTGCAATGAGACTCAGTCTTTACCAGGGATGTTAATATTCTCATATTCACCATGAAAGGGGCTGGTACTCTTAATATTGCATGTTGTAGGTGGGAAATAGGTGCTCTAGAAATTCCTACTTAACAAGGATCACACATTCCTTCATAACAAGGAAAATGGGAGCCTTGGTTTGAATCTAAGTTTTGTGTCACAAGAAGTTCTTGTTCTACCTCTATTATCCATCCTGCAAGATCCATGCCCAGGTCCCCAGTCTCTCCTTTGCCAAGCCCCCAAACCCAGTCAATACTAATTCTAGACAACACTGAGAGATAATCAAAGCTGGCATAGGAACACTGCAATATTTTCCTGCCTCAGCCTCCTCTAGGCCTGCAGGATCAGGAGGCACTAGATATGATGTCTACTGGGGAAGGGAGCAATGGTGTACCTATCTTGTTAAGCAGCTCTAGCAGGCAGGGACTCAGGCCTTGGGAGAAACTAACAATTTTTCATTCCCAGGAGCCAGCTGGAAACAATGGATCCTAAGGGGCCAAGAACATAGCTGTGGTAGAACACAGGACACATTGTAACAAATTGTCCCATGTTCTTCTGGAGCTAGAGATAATAGTTTGCTTAAACAGCCCCCTCTTCTCCTTCCCTTCCCCACCAAATCTGTCTCCTTCCAGATCCCCAAAAACAGCCACATAGTCTCTAGGCTTGAAGCCCCAGGTGATTCTTTGCCTCTGGCCACATGGTGATTGAAATCTGATACTCTTTACCCATATCTGGAAAAACCACAGTGGACCCAGAGCCCTGCATCACCAGGAGGAAAGAAAGGGCTTTAGGCGAAGCAGAAGCATTCAGTTAAGAGGCAAGGAAGTATATAGGATTGTTTCACAGTGCAGATGGCCCTGGGATATTGGCATTGAACTAGGACAAGACCCCAGGCACTGTGGTGCCCATTCTATCCACACTTGTTGGTCTATCAAATAGAAGAGTTGATATGTGTTACATTCATTCTCTCTCCCCCAGAGAAGGACTGTTGGTGTCCCTGTTGATGGTTAAGCAACATCTCACAGGTTTGTCCAGAAAAGTAGCTTTGCCCTTGGGCCCTCACAATTGTTAGAGACATCTTTTCAGCTCTGCCCTGGGGGCTCTTTCACAGTCTACAGACAGATCTCTCAAAATAGCTGATTCAGGAGAAATGCTGGGATATAACACACATTGTCCTAAGGAACAGAACCTTCCCATCATCCTAAAAATATTGTCACCATTTGGTATTTGGAAAAACTGCAATCCAGAGAAAGGGGATATTCTCAGTTGCATTTCCATGTGGCACCTTGAAAATTCTCTAAGACAAAGCTCAAGGGGCCAAATGTTACTACCTATTGAACCTAAGAAATTCAGAGGGAAACAGTCTAACACCTACCCAAACAGCCCTTCCACCACTGCCCTCCAAGAGAGCTGCCAGACAGTTCCCCCACTCCTAAATTAACTTTCTAGTTGGCTTATGGAGAAGACATCTGACTCCCCAACTGCTCAGAGAGCAGCAATTGGACACCTGGGTTTCTAGAGCTCCCTACTCCTCCTTTCCAACTCAGGCTTCAGGGGCAGAGATGCATTTGTCTGCAAAGCACACGTGCAGGTCCAGGAGGCAGGCCAGGTATCAGGGACTAGTCATGGATCCCTGAAAGAGCTGAGCTAAGGGCAGGTCAGGAAGGAACTGGTGACCTTATCCCTCATTACAGCAGCCTGGGAATGAGAAGAGGCCAGGAAGGTGCTGATGTTAGGTGTTGGGTCCTTGGCACTTCACAGCCTTAGGAGAGGAAGGCAGGATCTGGGAAGGTGGGGAATGGAACATGAAGCATTTCTGCAATGTTCTTTCTTTCTAAGCACATATGTTGCATTTGTGGTAGCCAGGAGAACTATCTGGAATAAGGAGCAACACATCTGTGCAACTTGGGTCATGTTATGTTTCCTCTCTGACAAACCAGCCAAATCTGGTCAAGGGGTCAAGATGAAAATCATTTTGTGGACAAGACTTGTGTTTATCCTTTTTCCATGATCTGGCCTCCTAAGCAGTTTCCCCTTGCTTTGACGCCTGACTTTGCTTAACACGTTGCTCATGAAGCCCCTGGTCTAGCATCAGGTTCCTATGCTGCCCACGTAGAGTCCTTGATTTTCTTGAAGTATTCATGGTGGGGACAGGAAGCCATGTAAATGACTTAACTTTCTTGCAGGGACCTCTGTGCCACAGGCCTACACCTAAAATCCTGCAGTGTATGGTCACAGGGCTCACTCCCAGCACCCCTGTTAAGGATGGACACTCCTGCATCCCAATCCTATAAGGCTCTATTCTCAACCCAGTTAGTCCTTCAAGCAACCAAACACACATAGCTGGCTAATCCTGGACAGAGTTGGGGCCTCTGCTCTGTGTTAACACTACCATATTAAAGTGCAATGGAAATTTGGGTGCTGGTTCAGGACAAGGGAAACTGCTTACCACAGAGCAAAGTGTAGAACTTGCAGGTGGGAACCAATGTAATCCCATACAGGGCTCCCAAGTGCAGCAAACTCATGAGGATGATGTTTCTCCAGACATACTCAAGCTCGGGCCTGGGGCCCTCTGCATCCTGATAGCTGGGGTCGTATATGTCATCTTTCATTTCAGGGCGTATATCTTCCCCCAAGTAGAGAGGGGTCTTCTCCAACTTCTCTCCCCCATTCTTCAGGGTCCCCTTGGGAGGCGCTGTGATGGTGGTGGTGGTGGTGGTGGTGTAGGAGCTGGATATCTAGAAGGCCAGGAAGTGGAGAGTCAGGAGACAGCAGGGACTGGGAGCCCAGGAGGGCTCTAATGCAGTTGGGGAAGTGTGCAGGAGAGGCACAGACTCTTCCCCAGTGCCCAGGTTACATGAAGGTGGCCTGTAACCCGAGATGGAATAGGGAGAAGCTTCCAAAAAATGTGCAGATAGATTGCAAATGAAACCTCAAGGTAAAGGGACAGAAGGAGGGAGGGGAAAACATACCAACACACAAAGGAAACCGTGTATAAGGGCATCCGCAGGACCGCAGTTTTCTTTAAAGCTCAAGAAGCAAAAGTTGATAAATCAACCCTCCAGATTAAAACCCACACCATAACCGTGGGCAGCAAAACTCGGGAAAGAAGGCCCGTTCCTCACAGAAGCTCTTAACTGTCTCCCCCACTAACCAGTTGTCTACAAGCCCCATTCGCGCCCGCCAAGCAGCGGGACGGAGGCCACTTCTGGGACGCTCACCTCCTGCAGCATGTGGGCGGGCATCTGGCTCTCGGGTGCTGGGATCACGCTCCCGGGGCTGAGGCTGCGGAGCGAATTTGGCACAGCTGAAACTGAGGGTGGACTTCGGTTCAGGGGCCCGCTTGAGCGGGGCGATCGGTGGAGCTGCGCTCGGAACACCTCTCTGCTGTTGCACGCTGGATGGTTGTGCAGGCCCGATCCGCTGTGCGCGGATCTCTCTGGGCTCGGAATTTAAGGAGTAGATCTGGCAGTGGGTGGACGGTGCGGGGTATTTCCTCAGGCACCTTTCATCCGCTGCCAACAAGGGGCAAAGTGCGCAGAGCTGCTTGGCGGAGACAGCCGAGCGTGGAGGTGAGGGCGGGAGAGGGGAGGGGACAAAGAGCAGAGATGAGCAACTACCCGAGCCAAGGCTCTGGAATGCTGCAGACAGCAACACCACGCCGCCTTGCCCCTGCCTCTGCCTCTGCGAAATGCTAATGAGGCTCTTGTAAACTCTGGCCTGTCATTGGCCAAAGGGAATTTGGTGCCACCTAATCCTGCGGTTACCATTGGCTGGGCGCAATCTGCTGTTGCCTCTGCCGCCAGCTCCTCGCCCCCCTCCCTTCTTTTTCTCCATCTCCGTTTCTCTTCCACCGGCTCCTGGGCCTCTGCCCCGGCACCCCGCGGCTTTGGGCGCGTCAGGGAGGTTTTTCTCTGGACGAGGGAGAGGATTTGGTTCGGCACTGGGGATGCATTACAAGCCCAGTATTGGTCACAGCGAATGGTTGGGCACTGCTGAAATTGCACGAGGAACTGTGCGGAAGCCACGGTGGCGCCCAACACACAGTTCCATCCTGTCTTCCCTTTCCTTCAGTCGCATGGGAGGGAAGACTTGGCTTCCACTTGGGAGACTGAAGCGGAGAGGTCTGGTGCAGTCCTAACCCGTGGGGGCGGACAGGGCCTCTACCCGGCTCCAACTCCTATATGCTAACCTGAGACAGCCCAGAACTTTGGCTCTAGAGCAAAGGTGTGCCTGCATACCAAGACCGGGCTCAGTCACAGGGCACACTGCTGGGAACCGTCACCGCCAGGCACCAGCGGGTAATCTGGTTCCAATGCCCATGCCTCCAAAATGTGTACGGGAAGGTTAGAGATCCTTCTGCTTGTCGGGTTGGAATTTTGGAGTCTTCTGCATGGGGAAAGGAAGGAAACACAGACAGGTGTTTTCACCCAGCGATATGGAATAAGAATAGGGAGGAGGTATTAAATGAATCCTGCAAGCCAACTTACAAGAGTCACTTTATAGAAAACTCTCTGTGAACCTGTGATGGCGGTACTGCATAAATAAAAGTAGTTCCATTTTTTTTAAATGGAATCATGGGGAAGAAAAGGAGACATGGAAAGACCAAATAACTTGCCCACAGTGGTAGTAGCCAGAAAGTGGTGGAACTAGGAGGTGAACACAGAAATATGATTCTGGAACTCAAGCTCAGGACTCTACTTCCCTGGTACCCTGAGTGCGCTGACCTCAGAGACCTGTCCCTCAGGGATCCATCTTCCCTGGACCTGTGGGAGTCCTACCAGGAGAGCTTGGAGCCAGGCAGGCTGTGCATTCACCCAGGTTGCTTCCATGCCCAGGTCACATCCTGCTCTGGGAAGAGAGGCAGATGAGGAGATAAGGAAAAAAGGCATTTGGGATTGTCTGGGAGCAGGACAGAGCTGTGCCTCTGGTCTCAGGGGCAGGCCAACTCCCTGACTAGTGATCAGGCACCTCCATTTCCAGACATGGCTCACTGGCCATTGGGAAGATGCCAAATGAGCCTAGGTGATCTCAGAGGTGGAAGCTCATGAGGTGATGGCTCAGAGGCAGGGTGTGGAAGCCAAGTCCACCTGTGCTGCTTCTCTTCAGGTTCTTTCAGCAACGTGTGCTCTGCTAAATTCCTTTGCCAACTGCAGGTTTACTCTTCTTGGAGAAAAATTCAAGATTTCTTTTGGGGTGTGCTCTTAGATGTGCCTGAAGATGGCTCTCCCTTTTGAGATCAACTTTCCTTCTCTTTAAAGAATGCATTTGAGTCTCATTTCCTCTACACCCTGTACTTCATCAGGGAACAATATGAAAAATGAGGGTCCCCTGGAACCTGCCCTCCTACTATGTATAGTCTGTGGTACATAGTGCCGCTAGCATTACTATAGGGCTGTTGATGTTACTTAGGCCAGTGCCATGTAATTTTTGTGCCAGAGAATAAAGAGGAGGCCTGCCAAAACAATAAGGTAGAGGTAGAACAGAAGCCCTGTATTTCTTTTCAAACAGGCTATTGCCCTGTGGACAAAGTTCTAGGAGTCCAAGAAAGTTCTGACTTAAGGAGAAGGAGAGTCAGGAATAAGAGGTCAGAGCAATTTAATGTTGATAAGCAAGATAGAATGGTGTGTATCACATACCTGTGATGGTGTCACTATCTTCAAACCCCAGAAGGTCACCCCTGCCCACAAAATAAGACTGCACAATAAGGACAAAATTTTTGAAAAAGCTTGAATTGTGGTATTGGAAAATATTATTTCAGTGACGATTAGAACTTATAAACAACAATGCAATTCATATTTATTTACAATAGGGTTTTCTCCTCAACTGATATTTTAGCATAGAAAAGTACAAAGTATGCTTGGGAGATAGAGATTGGTACTATAAACATTCCTATATGAAAGGGCACAAGGAATCACATCACTTTGAAATTTTAATTTTGATTCTTCAACTTAAAAGAACAAGACAAAAAAAATGCCGCATGTAGTAATTTTAAGTAAATAAATTGTCAATAGCAAGAATTTATAGAAATCAATCTCCCTATTCATTCAGTCCTTCCCAACCGTTTTTGGATCTGATACTGGAACCTGGAACCTGCTCTAGCACTATGTATAGCCTCTATTCGGAACAGAATTGGGAGTACAGATCTATGGTTGAAAGCATTCCCTGCTTCACCTCCATTTCTCTGGGTGCCTTGTACTTGAGTCTGGAAGAACTGATGTCCCTTATGCTACCTAATACATGGCCAGTAACACCCTGAGTCAGAGCAATATTTCGATGAGTATTGGGCCAGATTTTAGTTGTCCCTCATCTACACTCCTGGAAAATTATTACTGCTGATGTGAACTTCACTAGAACATAATTTAGAATTGAATGATATGTCTATTTTAGCATTCATTGCATTCTCCTTCATTAGCATGAAAAATTTAGAGTTACTTCTACTAAAGGGAAAAAGCTACCTTCAATTAATCACCTGAGAATTTTTTTTAAGGGAAGAAATATTGATGGCACACAACTACTTAACAAATGTTGCACTTTACTAATTGTTAAAAAAATTATGATAATTTGTCACTAATAAAGACTTAACAATATTCAATATTGTGGAGAATGAGATGAGAAAAGCATTCTTGGAAATGCTAGGAGCAGGATATATTGATTTGCCCACATATTCATCTCAACATTATTTCTAACATTAAAAAAATAAGGTAGGGGACTGGGGTTGTGGTTCAATGGTAGAATGCTTGCCTAGCATGTGTGAGGCACTGGGTTTGACTCTCAGCACCACATAAAAATAAAATAAAGATATTGTGTCCATCTACAGCTAAAAATATTTTTTAAAATAATGCAATAAAACAATCTTATAAATGATAGAATATGATATGGCTACATCAAACATTTTGGATATATATATATATATATATATATATATATATATGCATATATATATATGTATATATGGTACAAACACAAAAATGTCTAATGCACTGAGGGTGTAGCTCAGTGACAGAGTGCTGGATTAGCATGCAGGATGCCTTGGGATTGACCCCCAGCACTTTGAAAAAAAATATTAAGCATTTCTATATGTGTATGACATTCACATACAATTATTTAAAAACATATCTGTGTGATCTCAACAATGTAAAAAATATTATAGAAAGAATAAAGAGGGGAAAAAAGAAATGTTAAGCTGAGATCCTGGTTCTGAAATTTACTGAGATACCTGGTAACTATGGGCAATTTACTTTATTCTGTGAGCTTCAATGTCCTCATCTGTAAAATAAGTATACTAATATTTGGGTTGGGAGAGTGTAGTAAATATTTAACAAGATATTAAATTCATTAGTATAGTCTTGGATACATAGTAAATTACAATTGTTGTTATTTCATTTACATCCAGGGTCTCTCATTTTGGTATGTAAAGTATGCCATGATTGTACTTGGAATGTCCTCTTCAGCCTTAATTTTCACTTCCCTCTTGGTATCACTTAGGCCTTCATCAAGCTGCACAAGAGAGGTTAAAACAGATGTGCACGCACACCTATATATACATATTCAACTTGTATATGAATATTCATAACAGCCCCAAATGGGAACAATGCAAATTTCCATCCACTGATTAACTGGTAAGTAAGAAGTGGTATGGTCATACAATGGAAGATTATTTGGTAATAAGAAATGAAGTACTTGCACATACTGTGACACAAATTGATCTTAAAAATAGAATGCCAGCTGGGCGTGGTGGTGCACGCATATGCCTGTCATCCTAGCAACTCAGTAGGCTGAGTCAGGAGGATCAGAAGTTCAAAGCCAACCTCCACAACTTAGTGAGGACCTAAGCAACTTAGTGAAACCCTGTCTCAAATAAAAAATTTAAAAATTAAAAGGGCTGAGATATAGCTCAGTGGTTAACACCTCTGGGTTTAATCCCTGGTGCAAAAAATAAAAAACAAACAACAACAACAACAAAGAATGCTAAATGAAAGAAGCCAGTTGCAAAGGACCATATGTTGCATGATTTTCTTTATATGAAATGTCCTGAATTGGGCTGGGGTTGTGACTCAGAGGTAGAGTGCTCGCCTACCATGTGTGAGGCACTGGGTTCCATTTTCAGCAACACATCAAAATAAAATAAAGATATTGCATCCACCTATAACTAAAAAGTAAATAATAAATAAAAGAAATGTCCTGAATAGGCAAATTTATACACAGAAAGCAGATTGATGTTTGCCCAGGCCTTGGATGGAGGATGAAGGAAGATGGCTCAAGAGTGCAGGGTCATTTTGGGGGGTAATGAAAATGTTTTAAAATTGATTGTGACAATTAACCTTGTGAATATGATAAAAGCCATTATATTGTGTGATGTAAACGGGCAAATTATATGGTATAGAAATTATTGTTAGAATCTGTAAACAAGTCAAAATAACACCTGGCATTTTGCCAGGGGAATGATAGAGTTTGTAAACAAGTCTGGATGGTGCCTGGCAAAATGCCAGAGGGAGTGGTTTGAGAAGTAACAAAAGCGAGCCATTAAGTGTGGAGATTCCTGATTGGTTGACTGATGTATCTAGTTTATGCTAATTAGATAAGCTGTGTGGAATGTATAAATACTGC